CAGGTACAGTATGTGAGAGGATGTCACACGGAGGTGGGTAGAGACCTGTTCCCCCCTACAGAGGAAGGCAGGACGCGCTCCAACCAAGCAAAGCTCGGGGAACCCAGGTTCCATTTGGATGCCAGGAAGCACTTCCTGACAGTCAGGACCCCGAGGGTATGGAATGGGCCTTCACAGGAGGTGGTTGAGGCCCCATCGGTGAGGGTGTTCAAAGATAGGCTGGACATGCACATGGTGGGCATGTCATGAGTGGAGCCAGTTGGAGCCAGGGGTCAGACTAGATAGCCCAGGAGACCCCTTCTGACTTGCTCTGTTTCTATGTTTCTCTGTTTCTAATTCAGTGAGTTTATGTGGCACTGATATGGCAGTTGCAAATGGCAGAAACAGACATGGCTGTCTACCCATTGGTAGGTGAAACCTAACTAACTTGTCAGCAGCAAGAAACACTAAAAAACTCTTTATTTGGCTTTTATTTATGCAATGCATATATTGCTCAGGTTTGCATGTCATGGCAAGCCATCTCATGCAGGATGATATTCTTTGTGCCTGTCATGTTTCAGCGGGACACATTATTATTTAGAAACCACCATGAGAACAATGATCTATGGTTGCCGTGCTTCACCACGGCCCGTCATGTTGTTTGAACCCAACATCATGGTTTCCATGGTCCTGGTGTACTGCTAAGGCAGAGTACCATGGAAGGAGTGGCCGCTACTGTAGGAGATGCTCTGGCCATCCAGCATGGGATAGGATACATGCTCAGAGCAGAAGAACTGAGTGAGGAAGTTGGAAGCTTTATGGCTAGAAGTCTTAACTTCAGGAGAACAATTTAGGTCAATAAGAGGAGGGATGCTATCAAATTCATGATGTTATCAAATTCATGAATAGCTGCTGATGGAATATTATTATTTGCAGGTGGAGTGAGCTTAACTAGGGCCCCATAATGGGATTCTTAAATGCTTTTTTGCAAATAAATGTTATGCTGTATAAATTTTTATCTCCTTCTCTAGATTAAGGAAGGAGCTCTGCTGGAATCAAAGGTTAACAGGTCTTGCTAGACTGTGAGCCCTTACCTGGGGTTTTAAAATATACTAAATTTGATTCCCATAAATCATTTTGGGATAAATTAATGGAGGATAAGCTGCTGAGTCCAGGGTTTAATCTGTCCTTCCCCACTGATATCTCTAATATGAGAAAGGAAGCTTTAGCCTCATTAAGGAGATTAAATCAGGAGGTTATTAATTGAGATGCTAGGTGATACTGCCCCCCTCTTCTGGGGGTTCTCTCAGCCCCTCGTATTCTGCCAAGTTATTTTACCTTTTTAACAGTCCCATGTTTTCATCAACTCTCTTTCTTAGCTAGAGAAAACAAGTTGCTGCTGTCTGAGTATCAGCTGCCGCAAGAGATTCTGGCCAATGGTAGAGGTGCGATCAGAACTTTACCACCCTTTTTAGTCAATTGTCATTGATACTCTTCTGAAAGGGAAAGTTTTACATTGCCTTTATGGAGTAGGTTCCATCATTGCTCACTGTATGTATCTTTTGTCTGGCAATGACAGGTACGTCTTCCTGTTCGGGTCAGGTGAATGGCATGTGCTCTTAAAATTAGGCATATTTTGACAATATTCCTGGGGTTAAGCATTAGGAGGTGTGTGTGTGTGTGTGTGTGTGTGTGTCTCAATACATTAGTTTGTTTTGCCAAAGCATCTCAGGACTGGGAGGTGCTCTAATTTTGGAACAGGAGGAGGGTGGAAACGATGTTTGAGGCACATACAGGCAAATGCAGCAATCTGTGGAAACGATGCAGAGTTGCTTGTCGCAATGTGTGAGCCCAGCCACAATGCAATTGTGTGTGTGTGTGTGTGCCTGATCATGTGTGCACACAATCTTCTACCTTACTCCATTGTGCTCCTCTGCCACGATTTGTTTCTGGCATTTGTTATATGTTATAATAATATGTTATAATAATAATTATAACATAATAATAATAATAATAATAATAATAATAATAATAATAATTTGCATTCGGTGACTTTCAAGTTTGCCGGCCATTGTCCATGGAGACTCGCCTTGGGTCTCTTGATGACGCTGGGCCACAACTGTCTTCTATGAAGAGAGAGGAGTAGCCAGAAGCAGATACAAGATGAAGATGGTGACGATGATGAAGGTGGTGGTGGTGGTGGTGATGATGATAGCGGAGAGGTTTTATGTACCCGGCTCAGCTTGGATTTCAGTCTCTTTTTTTGTAACTGAGCACATCTTACGTATGAGTCACTGTTGTCCTTCATTTCAAAAGCTACTTATTATTTTGGTCCTTCGAATCTGTCTTCATCGATTTCTGAGCTAGCAGTGCACACAGAAAGAATGAGCAAATGAGTGAGAGACGGGGGGAGAGGTCTTTTCTTTTTCTGGGAACATATATCATAATTGCAGTAGGAAGAGGGGGTTGTGTGTGTGTGTGTGCGTGCGCAATTGCGTATACATACATACATAATTCTATTTTTCCACCTAAGAGCAAAACTGAGCCTCTTAGGAAAACTGAACACAACACAGTGCCTGCCAAACAAATTGTGAATCCTTGTATGCTTCCTGGGGAGGAATCCCCGCACCTTGGAGTCATTGACTCAGATCATGGAATGTTTCGTTTTGCTCCATTGTCCTTGATTTTCCCTCTTGTTGGGGGGATATATTTGGTGATGGAAACAGAAGAGTGGTGGACATATTAGAGCTATTATTTGTTCCTCAAGAGTAACTTGGCAGTGGTGAATGGATTGATCAGCCATCAAGCTGGTAAACAGGGTTGCTATTTGTTGTACCCTGACTTTTGGACTGTCGGTGTGTGCTGTGTTCCATTCAACAGCTCTTTCTGCATGTTGGTGGGCTTGCTTGACCAGGTTTTTGCATGCGTGTGAGCACTTGATCTCCCTACCTTTGATAACTGGGAACTGAGAGTGCAGAGTAGCACCACTGATAGACCTTACTATTGAAGACATGAAGGGAGAATCGACACAGTCAGGCCAGATGTCAGGCTACGGAGTTTTGTAGCAAAAGTGAGCTACAGCAATGCAGGTAGGTTATTTTAGACCCAGAATTTAGTGGTCTTTCTAGGGGGAGAAGTGATGACATAGATGGCGCTCTCTCTCTCTCTCTCTCTATATATATATATATATATATATATATAGCCATCTAATTTCAGTTATGAAACACTATAAAGGTTTCTCACCTCCCACTTCCATTCTGTACTTTACAACTGCTTGCATATTAAAAATGTGCTAGAGAAAACAACAATTATTTGCAAGCTGGAATTAAAGCCGAAATAGTTTGAGTATGTGCAGTTCTGCATTTTGTTGTCGGGAAGGATAATACATTTAGTAAACACAAAATAAGAAAATGAGCATTAGTTAGTAGTATTAAAAATGGAAGGAAGATAAGAGGCTTCAGGGAGAATGGCCTTCGATCGTTGGCCTAGTTTGCATGATCGCAGTGCAGGATTACAGAAGGATCCTGGCTTTTAGGGTCACATCCTGTCTGAATCAGCCGCAGCAGGGTATTCTGAATGGGGTTGCACCCCCCTGAAGGAGCAGAGTCATCGCTTGGGGGTGCTCCTTGATCCATCTTTGTCCCTTGAGGCTTAGGTGGCATGGGCGGCTTGGAGTGCCTTCTACTAGCTTCAGCTAGTGGCCCAGACACGCCTCCATCTGGGCAGGGAGAACCTGGCTTCAGGAGTCTACCTTCTCAAAATCAGATTATTGCAATACACTCTACAGGGGGCAGCCCTTGAAGATGGTTCAGAAGCTGCAGCTGGCACAGAAGTGATGAAGGGATGGAACAAATGCTGTGCCAAAATCCCCCTCCCCAAACACACACACTTTTTCTTTTTTCTTTTTACCATTTTCATTCAAATTGAAAGAAAATCAATTGCTTTCAGGAAGAAATGCATTGTGAAGAAAATGTCACAATTTCTTGAGAGTCAGGTTGAGTTGCCTTGTGTTTGATTTTCTGAAGAAGTGACTGGGCAGTGTGTGTTTCTTCGTAAACTCATCTTTCGAACAGCCAGCAGCCTCCTCCATTTTCTAGGTTTCTATTAAAGTTCAGGGAAGTCATCGCGAAGTCATTCCTTGTCTTGAGATTTTTCAAATCGGGAAGTGCATACAAGCTCAGAGTAATGGGGGGATGCATAGTAAAAAGAAAGTGAACTGTGAGAGACCTTCAAATTGAGCGCCTATACCTTTTAGTGCGTCTGGCATTGGCACCCTACAGGTTGTTCTAGAACTTGTCCAGAATGCCAGCCATTTCACTGGGCTGTCCTATATTCTTTCTACTGACAGCTAGGCTAACTTTAAGGACAGAATTGATTGAATTTTGGCAAACAGAAAGAGTTGAGTTTTTCTGAATAACACCTGTGCCTAAGTGGACACCATGAAGACATAAATTCAATATTTTAAAACTCTTTCTACATATGTCCTTATCTATTTATGCATGCATACATATATGCATAGAAATACAGAAGGCTGCATAGTTAAAAAGAAAGGTTACTGCCATCAAAGAAGCTCACAATCTAAAATACACAAGCACAGTGACAGAGAGAAGCAGGGTGAAATCGGGACAAATACTAGTTAAAACCTGATTCTATTTAAGCTGAAGACCACAGAGAAAAGAGAGGTTTGTAGGATGGATTTGCAGAAAGAGAGGGAGATAAGATAGCAGTGCCTGTTCAGAGGGGAGTTATTTGCATGGATGGTTGAAAAGGAAAATTGGCAGAACCTTGACTATTGATGGACAGTACTCGTTGGGTAGAGATTTTGGTTTGTTTGTTTGCTGAAATTAGTAAATCATGGAAACTTGCTGATCTACAAGTCTCTGAGTAATCTACCTTCTGCCCACCCTTAATAGAGTGCTTTAAGAAGCTTCCACTGCCAAACGCTACCCTGTCCATCTCTCTCAGTAGTCTGAACCCCTCTCTCTTTCTTGCTATCATTTAGGTGATGACCTGAAAACATCATGTCGGAGGTCCAGGGAACTGTCGACTTTTCTGTGGAGCTGCACAAATTCCATAATGTGGATCTCTTCCAGAGAGGGTGAGTGAATGTATTTATGGCAAGCTCATGAATAAGAAAGGCAGCTGAAGCCTGAAATAAGTCAAAGTCCATAACTCCAGGTTTAGATGTGGATCTTTCCACCTATTTCTAGGCTGTATCATTGTTTTCTGTAGCCAAAAGAGAACATAAGGAAATTGATGCTGGATTAGTCAAATGGCCCATCCAGCCCAGCACCATGTGAACATGGTGGCCAACCAGGTGCCCACAGGATCCCTCAAGCACGATGAATGCAAGACCTCTGCCTGCCCAAGCTCCTCAGCAACTGGCAGATTCCGGCCGGGCCACCATGCATAGCCTTCTTCTCCATGGAGATAATCATGATCAGCCACACTCACAAGAGACGTATAGACTTAGAGAAACTCCAAGACATGCAGAGGTGCCAACAGTCTTTAGGGAACATGCACTCACGCAAACACACACTAAGATTGTTGTTCAGGATCCCAGTGTTCAGGAGTGAGCATCCAGATCCAATCGTATTTCACTGGATGTGAAAGCCAGTAAAGATTGAATTGCCTGAAGTTCTCCAAATTCCACATACAAACTAATTCCAACTCAAGTCTTTTTAAAGTGTAAGTTTTTTTTCTTTTTGCATGAAAATCCATACAAATTGCCATACACAGTTTTTCCAAATCTGTACATCAATTTTTGATGTACTCAATGTTTTGAAATGTATTCATTGTTCATGAGTATCCAAGATTGCATCCAAGACTGTGTATAGTCCCAGAGGTAAATTCTGATCAAAAACAAACTGAAATTAATTTCCCGCACTTCCGTGCAGGTGAGTGTAGCACTACAACCTAAATCAATTGTTCCAGGACAGCATTTCAAAGGATCAAATAGTACATACCAGTCAGAACTATTTGGAGGACATTTGGAAATGAATTCAATAAAGGACTTGAATGCTCAGCCAATGTTCATGGCCATCAACAACCAGATAAAGAGAATATAAGGATGGGGAAGAGGCAGGGAACAACTTAGTGAGTTCTAAGCATCAAGCATATGTAATGTAATTTTCAAAAAGGAAAACAAATGTAAAAGCTTCTTCCCCTCATCCAGATTTACTCATTACGTGTGATTTAATGACTGTTGACAGCTGAGCTTTTGCCAAAATTAGTTTAAAGCTTCTGACATTCTTTAATAAACTGGGAAATAAAGTTATCCAGATTTGCCCAAGATCAATTAATTGATTTGTCTGCTTGTGTCTGAACTCTTCATTCTATTCTCCCTTGTTCTTTTTATGCCACTCAATATTGATTGGCAATTCCATGTGTATTTTTTAAAAATGTGAAGAGCTAACAAAGGCAGCCAAGTTCAGAGATAAATTATTTCTGCAGCAATGGAAATTTCCCATCAAACTGCAGATTCTCAGCCTCTGTAAATTAAATAATGGACTTAAGCTTATGAATGAGCCTGCTGACTTGATTGAAAGAAAACAATGAAGAAAATAAGAGAAGAGAAGAGAAGAGAAAGAGAAGAGAGGTGTAGCCAAGAGACTCCAAATGTTCCTGACTCCAGTAGGACAAATATTCTGGCCCACTTGCATTAGTGACCTATATGCTTCTGAGCCCGATTCAAGATGCTGGTGTTAACTGAGAAGGCCCTTCATGGCTTGGGACCACACCACTTGATGCTCAACATCAGCTCAACATGTGAGGCCTTCTTTGGAAGGTCACCTCCAGCGCAGGCTTGGTTGGCAGCAAGAAGGACAACTGCCTCCTCTGGAATAGCCCCACATTATGGAATAATCTTCACTGAGGCCCAGTTGACCCCAGATTCACAAACTTTTCCCTGCCCTTCTTGCTAAGGCATTTACCAACTCCAAATAACATACGGAATAATTGCTTTTAGTAGGCCTAACACTGTGGACTTGTTTTAGTCATTTAAGTTGTAACAATCTGACTTTGACACTCAGTGGTAAGAAAAGTCCTGCTGGATCAGGCCAAGTGTCCATCTAGTCCAGCACTCCGTGCACACGGGCACAAACCAGCTGGCCACACCAGGATCAAGGTGCAGGGTGAGGCTTTCAGCTGTGAGAATGCAGGGTTCTGGAGGTAGGACATAGAATAATCCAATGACCTGCCAGACAATTCCAGGAGCCCAGGGGAGCGGAGGATCCAGCTCTAGAGTTATTTCATCATTCTCTGGCTTCCTCTGTGCCAGCCCATCCCAAACAATAGTAAAACTCTGGATTCTTGTATTTCATTCATTTGCCAGAACCTTCCTTTCTGAGCATACACCCTCCACAGCATTCCTGAAAGTGACATGTCAGTAAGAATTGGTTGGATCCTGCGGGGGTAACCTATCAAAGATGTGCTAAGGGGTGGCTGTTCTTGAGAGAACTGTTCACGTGAGTGAACTATTTCAAAGGGAAGGTTAATTTTGCACAGAAATGCTTTTAACTGCTTTGTCTTTTGGACTATAAATGTACAACATTTTTGATTGGAAACTTTGGCACTTTAATTACTTAAAGTGCTGGCTGCAAAGGCAGTGGGTGATTAAATGCAAGTCAGTCCTTTCATCAGTCTACATCCCATTTTGGTTTAAAGATACATCCATTACTCCATGGGCAAGATATACGCCTTCATTTCTTGGCAGGATAATTGTATTTTCCCCACCCCCAGTAGCGAAAGATTGCAAAATGTATAGCTGGTTATAGAGTAGCATAATCATTTGGCTGTGCTTGAGGTATTTTATGATGTCCTCAAACAAGCAAGAAGTTGGTTTCTAATGGAACTGGAAATGTAAGCATCAAGGGTGTCAGACAATAAGAACAAAAGCAATTTGTTTGGGGACAGGAAATATACCCCACTGAGCATATCATACTCTGAGCATGGGCATTTTGCTAGTACTTTAGCTATTTCTCTAGCTGCTCTTCCTTTCCCACAAAGTAATTTTGGGAAGTCTGCAGAACTTGGAATTCAGCAGACCATGCCTATGTACTCATTCTCTCTGGCCAAGGATAAGAGCCTAAAAAGAGCCCACCTGGCTAGTTCAAAGGCTCCTCTAGCCCAGGATTCTAGTCACACAGTAGCCAGCTAATTGCCCATAGGGGCAACTCAGGTATTCATCTATCTGTGCAACAGTATCCCTCCAATGTTCCCCAGCAAAAATTCTTGATATTGGAGGTAGGAAAGAACCATCAGGACCAGCAACCATGGACAACCTTCTCCTCCATGAATTTGTTCAATCCCTCCTTAAAGCAGTCCAGATTGGGAGCCATTGCTACATCTTTTGGAAACAGATTCCATAGTCTGCCATGCACTCTGTGAAAAAATGCATGCCTTGATCTGTCTTGAAACTCTCACCTTTCAGGTCCCCCTGGTTCTAGTACTGTTGGCTGTGAGATCCACCACCTGGTGTAGGGTTGTCAATGAAAAGTCTTCCATGGATGCCAGTAGAAGTTTTCTCTCCCCACAGGCACATGCTTAACCCTAGGGTGGGATTGGGAAGCAAAGAGTTGGAGGAAAGTTTTCATACACTGCACTCGGTACATTGTGGTCCCAGTCCAAATATGGTCTGCAAAGACTTACTATAGAGTGAGGAAAAGAAGAGATTGGTCAGTTACATGCTACACACTTAACATAATATGTAGGCAAGTATCTGAACTGAGTCATATCAGACTACAGGTGTGTTTTGGGATGAAGAGGTCGTACCTGAAGGATTGCCTCCTCCTCTTTGATCTTGTGGATCACCTGAAGTCCCTCACTGGGGTGCACCATCAATTCAGGTGAGGCAGGTGGCTACTACGAAGGGGACCTTTTGGGTAGTGATCATGGAATGCTTTAACAGAGAGGTTTGCCTGGGCCCTTTCCCCTGGTCTCTTGGCTACCCATTAAAAATCTTCCTTTGCCCAGGTTTTTCAATCAACTTTTTTTCTAACTACCTTTCAGATTCAGGCATGCCTCTTCAATTTGTTGGCTTTATGTAGGTTTTAGTCTTTTTCTTTAATTTTTTGTTATTTTTGTTGTTCTGATGTTACATCCCTGGGTGCACTTTTATATTGCATGGTTTTATCATTTTCTGCAACTGTTTATCATTTTCAAGCAACTGTTCACCGGATGTGTTGTAAGTGAGCAGTACAAAAATGTTACAATACATGTGTCAGAGGGAATTTAGGGGAATTTCCAGGAAGTCCAAAGCGTTTCGATTGTAAAACTTGTGTTGCAGGGAGGAGTTCTTATGATTTTATAGGAAAGATGGTCTGAAGTCTTGAGTACCTCAGATCTAGTGGGACTGAAGATTGCTCCAGGTTTGGGGGAAAGGGGGCTCAGCAAAGGGTCCTTTTCTAGTCATGTCTTTCATTGGATACCCTTTGGAGGGGTGTTAATAACCCAGGAGTCTTTGCTCTCCCAGAGCAAAGCTGTCATAGCTTTGGTCCTGAGAAATTAAACCAAAGAATCACAGATGTTGTGATCTGGCATGGAGAAGCACTGATGGCCCATGCAGTGGCAACGGGCCACCAGGAGGTGCTCCATGCTGTGGCAACGGGCCACCAGGAGGTGCCCCAGGAAACTAGATACAACTAGCTCAAGGCTGGGTGCACCCATTAGAATCTGCAGTGTTGCTTGGTATGTCTGGGGTAGGCACCATGCTCCTGAAGAACCACCTCATATATGGAGCCAAGTTCCTGCATTCCTTTCTGATGGAGGCATGCTGGCCAAGGAACTTGGTAATGCAGCTTTTTGGAAGGCGTATATCACATGGTAAACAGAAGTCTTTGGTCTCCTGGGCATCAGCCTGGCATTTCTCATCTGCACTAAATGTGCCTTTTTGAAGTGTTTACTCTGCTCAGAAAGCAGGAGGAGGTGGGAATTACCCTGGCTCGCACAGTTGCCAAAAGCTTGGGAAGAAAAACAGGTGAGCTTGGATGACTTCCAGCAATCTTCTGTGGATATTCCAAAGAGCAACTAGGATTTTAAGGGGAAACAGAACTAAGTGCGAGATTCTGCTAATATTTATGGGTTCTAATGTTGATAGTG